TAACTAAATTACATATTACAAATACAACATAATTAATATTACAAACATCAACACATGTCTCTGAAACAAGTGTTACTTACCTTAATGTTAATGCTAGTTTTTCTGTCGGATTTATAGGTTATTTATGTCTATTGTACGCATTAGTGCATTACATTTTATATCATCTTCTTTTAGATTTACAAGTTTACAACATATGTGAATTGATCAAAACTCAGTCTAAAAAACTCTGAATTTTCTCTGGTCACGGAACAAATATTTCTCAATTAAAACACTGAAAAAACCTTCAGATTTTCTAGTTTGAAACATATCATGGACATTTTGGTTTTTTTTAAACATATATTTGATAAGTATAATTCTTTGTCATCTATTTCTTCTAAAAGAAGAAGTTTAATAAGTGTCTTCTTTTTCTGCAGATTAAGTGATATGATATCTACGTCCTACCCCTACGCTACACTGCAGTATGTAATATTTCAGGTATCACTATATGCAATACAATTAATAATTAACATTACACTGTTGACTGCTGAAACGTAGAAAAACAACTGAAGGACTCCAATAAATAATATGTTATTTTTATCGGATTTTAAAAATGTGTTAAACCGAGTTTCTTAAAATGTTATATATAAAATGCACTTTCAATAAACCTAATATTTGTCTTAACCATTAACTGAATCAAACTATCAAAGGATAAAAGAGAAGAAGTTGGGTTAAGAAAAAGCTAAAGAGTTATCAAATATCCTATATTCGTTTAAATATATAAAATGTTTTGAATGTTTATTTATCATTATTATTATTATAATGTTCAAACCATTTATTAATTACATTTATTATTTGTTATGATTATTATATTCATATTTAATTTAAATATTCTATTACCTAACTAATTAATATTATATTTTTTTATAGTTATATAATATTTAAATTTTATACTTGTAAATTATATAAATTATTTAATGAGTAATAGATGGTAATAACAATAATAGAAAGTAATAATGTAATAGACCATAATAGTAGATTCTCAAATTATGAGAATAGGGCAAAGAGAATTGCGTTGCGAAGTTTATTCGAGTAAAAAACATCTAATGACCAACATAATAAAACGACACACAAAAGAGTGAGGAAAAAATGTACTTTACCACGCCCCTCACGAATTTCGATTTTTTTTTTTAAAGACGTGTTTTTCAACACTGATTTCGAAACTTTTTTGCGGAAACCATTATTTTGGAAGTTATAGCCTTCCAACACATAATCTGTTAACGTTTCTACTCTTTCGCTGCGCTGCTCTCAGATACAAAAATCAAAAATATTATTGTGTAAAACCACCTTGTGTAGGTATAGGAATTAAATAATGTTTTTGGAGATTTCAACAGAGTCGACAGCCCGTCTGTTAAACTAACATAAGTCTATAATTATATTATAGCAATATAGTGGTTCCCTTAGCCTACCGTCTCCAGTCGCCAAACTTGAGCTGCTTCAAGGGATAGTAAAGTAGTGTGGCGCACATGTGTATACGTTTTGGAACGCTATAACTTCCAAAATAATGGTTTCCGCAAAAAAAATCAAATAGTTTCCAAATCAGCGTGGAAAAACTTGCCATAACACATTTGTTTATCTAATATGTACATAGGATATACATTATATACATAATATACATTATAATATGATATTAAAAACTATTCACCATCTATAAATGCAACTTTGAAGATACTCAAAACCACGAATTATTAAAATATGCGGGTAGATGTTAATTTGTGGTCCGAACGATAACAGCAGTGCCATCTACCGCTGTCGTTTTGAACTTTTCAATAACATGGAAAGGACCTTCTGCGGCTGACGCTCGATGTCGCTGCTAGATTGCTGTTGAATTATCTATAAATATTAATTTAGGGCCCGAGATCTTCATACCCTAAAAATATACATTTATGACATAAAAACACAAATAGTGCACTAAAAGAAATAAAAAATGCACTAACAATGTTACATGTTAATAGCCTAAATACTTAAAAATAAGTTAATAAAACTATTAAAGTTAATACAATTACTTGGTGATTTTATAATTAAAAATTACAATTTATAAACAGGTGTGATTTTGATTCAAATAAGCAGGTATCTAAAATTTAAAAATAATGAAGTTTTGGTATTTTGAAACACATTTTAAGCTAGGAAACCAGTCGAGAACCACTGGTTGTGGCGGCAATTGTGCAATGGTAGTGGAAAAGAGGCCGGTCCTCCGCTATTTATATGATACACGTTTTACTGACACTTATTTATTTAAATTATTAAAATATCATTTAAATAGTGGATTAAGATTTACGAAATACTTTAGTACGAAATAATTTTATTTTTCTCGCGTTAAAAATGAAAATTCTATACGAGACTCGCTTAACGTGATAATGCGAGCAGTATCTTATCGTGTAGGCCAGCGTTTCTTAAACTTTTTTATCCGTGGAACCCTTTTTTATGTGCACTTTCACCGTGGACCCCCAACTTTTTTTAGCTTTTTTTTATTGAGCTCTTAACAATAAATTATTACAGCTCGACAATTAGAACTACTACATTGTTTCAATACTTTCAATTCGTCATTTTATGTAAGGGATATTTGCAATAAAAGTTATAATTATGTGTCAAAATTCAAAATTTTGAATAAAAAACCACAAGTTTCAGGGAACCCTGAAGTGACCTCCACGGAACCCTGGGGTTCCACGGAACACAGTTTAAGAAACGCTGATGTAGGCAATCCACCTGCAGTAGATTTCGGATCCTGGTAGTTGGGTACTCTATAATATGAATATTGAATAATATGTTTTATTTTTATTTTGATTGCGGACACGCCGATGAGCGGCTATAAGTGCAACTCAGCCACCTTGGAAGGCAATGTGCGAAAATTCGATTTGATGCATGTTTCGATTAACTAAATAATGTTAACCAATATACAAAAAAAAAAAATACTAATTTCTACTAAATATACATTTATATTTCTCCTACAACCAATAACAACCTTTATAAACAAAAATTGTCATCGTAAATCTAAAAAACCCCTGTTTAGCAATTCTAACGTTAGGTTGGGTTGTAACATTTTTCTTATTCGTCTAATATTAATTATTATATATTATTGTATGAATTAATATCAATGGTATTATGAATCTTAATATTACCGTCTTCTAACCTTGAATATCCAATGTCTTAAAAATTTTAAATTCAATTACTCATAGAAAAAGTATGTGGCTTTACGATAAACTTTTTATTTAAATTAAATTTAAAATACCTATAAAGGATTATGTATTACATGCTCAAACCTTATGTAGGTATTGTTACTAAAGAATTGTACGAAGTCTTAAGTACAAATAATATGCTCTGCTCAGAATTTAAAATATCTATGTAAAGTTCCTATAATATTAATGATGACACTAAGTACTCATAGGAGAACTGATTGTACAGTGTTATAGACTGTACCTGTTATTCAAAATGGATTTTTTAAATAATAATTTTAAAGTGTTTAAACGATTATAATAATAGGAGTATTATGTTAGTATAGTACTGCAGTATAGGTAGGTATCTTAATTTAAAATAGTTTAACCGACAGTTATTTTGTTTTACCTGAAGGTAAGATTATAAATGGATATCATATATATCAATATCGTTAACGAGCACAATATTTAAATTTTGAGTAACTTGAAAATAATATAGCCTGTAATAATTGTATTTTCAATTCTCCCTTTAAGTGTCTATTGAGGGCTTATCTTATTCTTTTTTACCATTAAACTTTCATCAGCTTTCTATTGTTTCTTCATTCGTGTTTTTATTACTTTATATAATATATTATTGCAAGTAGGTACCTATATATATAATATTATGTTATTGTGAAAAAGAAAATTGCTCATTTAGTTGCTAAATAGTTGGGCATTTGCCCATAACGTTACTAAATAAATAAATTAATTAATAAACATATATATAAATTCATAAAAAAAAACAAAAAAATACTAGTCATGTTAATTTATCATTAGCGTATTTTAAATATCTACGTGCTACGTTGTGAATATACTTAGTGTAGTACTGTGAAAGAAGAGGTAAAAACGTATTAAACAGAATAAAATAATAACTAATACTTTCCTATTATGTAAATTCGTAGATACAAGGCAATGGTGTATTTATGGGGGGGGGGGGCATGATCTAATAAGCATGATGTATTCTAAATATGTGTACTATGTATTCATGATCATGTTCAATCAATATATAATCAATTTTAGATAAATCCACATATTCATTTTTAAATTGTATTATAAGGGGCAGGCAACATAAATATATGAACAAATTATGTAAATATATATATTTTTTTAATGCTGTAAAAAATAAAAAAACATTTAAATGTTATTACATTTTTTTTTTGAAACATCAGAATTATCAATTTGTAAATCTAGTTTTTAAACAAATTTTGATGGTAAAAACGTTACCGTATTTGAAGTAAAAACTTTTTCAAAATAATATTTTTGGGAATTTTAGTTACAAAGTTAGAGAGTTTTAGAATCTTGTTTTTAAACTTAAAACCGCTATTTTTAAAACTATACATTTTCAGTCTTGTTCTAGAGGTGCGAGTTATACTGTGTATACTGTGTAGCGTTTTATTACATAATAATATAATATATGCATAAGTAACTACGGATGAGTATATATACCGGTTTGGAGCATTCTATAATATGTTCACATTTTGATTAAGAAATGAATGTGGCAACCACAGCAGGACTTGTTCGAAATAACTGGAAGGTTGATAATTTTTATTTGATTTCAACCCGATAATTAAAAACATTTTACCTTTTATAACAGAAAAGTTAACACAAAGTGATGGAAAAATATAAAGCAATCGTTTTTCAACTTTAATTCATAATATAAGTATGAACTTTAAAAATATAAGTTACAGGAACATAATCATATTTACAAAATATTTTATTTTCTAAATCTTGAAACACTGATTTAACTTATTTAAATTTCCAAATGTCAACTCTTAGAGAGTTTATCTTATAATAATATTAACACATCGGTATTCACGAACGGCACTATATCTACTATTTAGTCACCGAAAACAGATGTTACAAATTTAAATAAATATTTTTATCACAATAAATTATATTCGTGAACACATTGCCTTTACTTGTTAGTTATTCTACAGTTTAATTATTTTGTTCTGTCTATAATATTATATTATATATAGTTACTGTTTGATATTATAGTTTTTAAAACGAAAACATAACTCTTTAAATTCATTATTAACTAAATGTTATATAAATTATAGATTTTTATAATAACTTAGAAACTAATTAAAACAGAGGAAACCGACTATAATACTGAAGTATACTAAGTGTCGATGTATTACCATTAAACTATTATGTGCATTCCACAAGAGAAGTATCCGAATAAAACACTGCTGCAGAATGATAGTTCAAACTATACTTTATTCTATAGAATATTTCAGGTAAGTCCTAATTATTTATTTTACTTTACAGAGTTTTGTTTTATTTTAATAATATTGGATTTAATACATTTTAGTTTATTGGATTATTATTGATATGTTCCGTATACTATTGGATTATTAATTATCGGGGTGGATTTAGTTTAACTAAAGCTAAATTAATACCAAACTGGCATCCACTGTTCATGACAATTGTTTTAATTTATTTATTTGCAAATGGTAAGTTGTAATTCAAATATTATCAATTAAAATAAAAAAAATCATTTAAGTGTTATTCTTTACGATTAGTTATTGAACCAAAGTTTGTTATAATTATAATTTATAATTGTAAATACCGTAACATTTTTGAAATGGTATAAATGAATAAAAGTTTTGTTTTAGAAGCCCACTTAATAATTGTATTTAAATTTATTTTTTCTCACTATTACATGAACTAAACTTAAAACTTATTACTCATGTATTATTACAATTTTTATTGTTTTTACATCCACATATAACATTAATTAGGTATTTTACAGTTATGTAACAATATAGTTAGATGGTTAGATTTAAAATATTTTTTATCGTTTAGACATCAGATAGCATTAAATAGTTATTTAACTACATTGCTAATCCATTATTCTATATTAAAAATTAACAGATATCAATATTTTATAAGGATTTTTTTTTTTTGGGGGGGGGGGCGTAGTGGCTGAGTGGATAACTCGTAGGTTGCAACGCGCACTGTCGCCGGTTCGAACCTCGGTCACGGGCGGCACTTCTCTCGTGGCATGCAGTCACGGTGTCCGGAGAGAGAGGCCGCCATGCCCCAACCGGGCATGGCAGAAACCTACAGGTGCCCACTAGAAATTCTGCCAAAACAAACACACACGTGTTCCATAACCCTACAGTTCCAAAAACCCTACAGTTCCAAAACCCTACAGTACCACAACTTACAGCTAATGGCCTCAGTTGTCGAAGCTTAAATAAATAAATAAAAAAAGGATTTTTTTACAATTTTTTACAAAAGCAAAATTTATTTTTTTATTTTCGCAACAATAAGTAAGGCGGACTTATACTTACAAAGGTCGTTGGGATGATCAAGTTGGATTCTGCTTCTGTTAAGACGGTCTTTCAGCCTGTAGTATTGAGGACCACTTGATTTACATAAATTACTGAAGAAGCTTACAGATAGTTCTCTTACGCGTAGTTTTTTATTGTTGTATTTTGAAATCTGTGATTAGAACATAGGTGCAATTGGGGGGGGGGGGGATTTATGAGTTAATTTTGGACTTAGGACTTGTATTTTGCTAATGCGAGCTGGGGTACATTTTCTTTAGACGGGGATTGTCCATAGTAGTAGTTATAGTCAAATAATTAGTTTTTTTTAATAATAAAAATATTTGTCAAATGATTATTGAGTTACATACAAAAAAAAAAACAAAATCGATTTCGTCAAAAATTGATTTGGCGGGAAAATTATAGTTTTTAATATTTTTCTCGATTATTTTGAAAAATACTTGTTATGTTCAATTTTAACTTCTCAAAAGTACAAAATAAATGTTTTATCAGAAACGACGGAAACCACTATCAAAGTTGAAAATCCAAGCATTTTTAAATTACCTACCGTGTTTACCCACAGACACAAACAAATGTATCATTTTAAAATCAATCCACTCAGAATCTATAAAATCATTCTTCAATTCATGAGGCTAATTTTTTTTTAGTAGGTAGACTTTTTATTATTTTAGTTATTAGTTTGTTATTGTCTTGCCACCGAGCCATTTACTATTGACCACTCCCCCTTTGCTAGCTTTAGACACGTCAGTAGTTTTTACCTAAACTAAATCTAAAAATTTCGATATTAAAAATCGATAATTATATAATTTCTTACTTTTAGGTTAGCCTAGTAGGTTAGTAGGATCTATTTATAAAAAAGTCAAATACTACTCATAATATATAGATATGTACACATCTTACAAACGTTATTAGCATTTTATATAAAATATTGTTCAAAATTGATATTAATGAGTTATTTCACACAATATTTAATACTAGAATTTCAATTTTTACAACAAAAATACATCGTTAACATAAATATAAAGTGTGATCAGGATCTTTATAAAACTGTATTGTTTTTTACATGTAATTATGCGATACTAATTAAATTACTAACTAAAGTACTAAAAAAAAATTGTGCATTGTAAAAAATGTATTACCTTTTATTATTTAATTTAATTTGAAGTTTTGTAACATTACCTATACTATGATAAATATCATACTACACAGGACCAGGTGGCGGGGTGATACATTTTATTAGGCCCGATGGCAGGTTGATATCAAATAAAATATACTTACCTTATTTTACTACCTAATTAATAACCATATTTTTAATTTAATTTTAGCTATTCTTCACTATCGTTCATTTCGGGATACAAAACGAAATTTGAAAAACCAGCATGCAATTTTATTCGGCTCCATGATAATCATTATGACAGTTGCTGGTGTAGCTACTTTAGATTCAAAGCGATTTAGACCTTTATTCACCAATCCTGCGATTCCTAATTTATATACTTTACACAGTTGGTTAGGAATTATTACTATGGCAATGATTCTACTTCAGGTCAGTAACACTTAATAGACAATATTATAGTATAATAATATATGGTATATGCATAATCTATCAATAATATTATTATATTTTTTTCATGAATGAATCAATTGTTGAATTTTTTGTATACATTTTTAGTTTACAAGTGGATTCTGGATTTATCTATATCCCACAACAGCTGTCCGATATAGAGAGATTATGATGCCTTATCACGTGTTTTTCGGTGTTACAAGCTTTGTATTAGCGATTGCATCCGGTGGATTAGGATTCTGTGAAAAAATGATTTTTTCATTGTATATAACATTATACCACGAGCGGTAAAAAGATTTAATTGATGTTAAAACTATGTATCTCTTTTACAGGTATAGAGAATATGAAAAATTTCCAGCCGAAGGTATAATTGGTAACTGCATAGGTTTATTATGTATTTTTTACGGTTGTTTAGTGGTTTATATGGTCACCAAACCAGAATTCAAGAGATGCCCTGCACCAGAATATCAGCCCTTAATCTAGTATTAGAAATATTATAATGTTACACACTTTCACTATATGGTTGTAACTTGTAAGTGTGTAATTTGAAACTAAACTTTTAAAATAAAATAATGATTAATTAAGTGCAATATTTTTTCTTGAATACATATTAAACATATTGTATTTACGACCAGTGTTAAGTTTATAGACAAATAAAAAAAATTAAGTATACGAAGTCGTCTCATATAAGTATAATAAGTATATATTGATTAAGATTATATGAATTAAGTCAGTTAAAAAAATATAAAAAATTATTATTACAATTAAGTGAAGGTACGTGTAAGTCACTGCAGCTTTTTTTCTAAAACATGTTACTATATGAAATAATACTATGAATTAATTACTTTTATGAACAAGTGGCTTATTAAATACTTTATAGTAGGCTTTAGGCAGTGTAATAAGTTGAGTTGCTTTTTTTTTAAAACTTTTACAGGTCAAACCAGTATTGCAGTAATATAGGTAGGTATAATGTGTAAATAGCTGGGATCGGATGTTTTTTCCATTTTATTACAGGTTTCAATTCTCAACAGGTAGTAAAAAACTATTCAAAAATAATAAATAGAAAAAACATCACATCCTTATTATACGGTTTTTTTCTGTAATAATATCATAATGATAACTGATGACAATAGCCATGTCTATGTCATCATCTATGGATCCGATCTGACCGTGCGCTTCGTCACTTCAATTGCGTCAAAACAATTTCGGTCATCCTGTAAACATGTGTACATGACAATTATTTCAACAATAATAATAATTTTCTGTGACTGCATGTAGGATATAATAAGTAAATATGGTAATTAATTTATATTATTCACTGTACATAATAGTATATACTACAAGCACCTAGGGACTAGGATTCGATTGAAAAACGATAAAACCTATATAAAACTGCAACAGACGTTTTATTTGTTATACAGTCGACACCGATATGATTAATACTGTATTTATACATGATATGATAAAATATTTTACTGTTCGTGTCAAATCTGTCACGTTATACACGCGATTTGAGTGTCAAGTTCAAAGTTGAATTTTACACGTATTTAATTTATTACTATACCTTCAAATTACGATAAATTTCAGTAATCGTCGAAATGAACGCTTCTATGACGACTACTGTTTTGATCTCGACAATTGTTCTAATTTTGTACTCGAAGACTGCTCGTTGTTGTGTAAGTGATTTTTCATAGATTTTAATGCACCAATTATAAAAGGATTTGTACATTATTAGCAATTCGAATCATGTGGTGTAAGTTTATGGTTGTGCCGCAGTATGTGAAGAACTCTGACTAAATGTGAGGATATTATAGTGGGATGGAATTCAAAAGAGTATATAACTGCAGGTGGTTGAGTACGTCAAGAGAAGTGTTTAAGATCGAGATGATAAAACCAATATATAGGTGCCTTTTATCATAGACCTGTAAAGAAACCTTAACCTAACCTTTCTTTTTATAGGTCTGTGGGACCTATGCTTTTTTGTGCAACTAATGTGGGATCGTTAGAACCTATCGGCTATCACTAGGGCTGGTACCGAATTGGTTTCCGTTTAATTATGCACATTTTTCTTCTCAATTTTACAGGCTTCGGACTGTGAACTTCAAAATAGGTTTGTAGGCTTGGTAAAAAATGTGTGGTTATGTGTATTAAAATAATAAAATATAATACATACAATTTCAAATCGATGGTTTTGAAAACTTGAAGCGAACTTTCTTCAAGTACCTATTCAATTCGTGTACATTTTTCATTGATAGACTCAGTTATACAGTTTCTCAAGTATTGGTTATTTCTTTCCTATTTGCTGGTAAGTTTCCTGCATTATTATTTCAAAGTTCAGGGTGTAGACTTTAGGTACATATAGATTTTATATTTTTTTTACAAATTATACATACGCATGAAATACTATTGCAAAAGAATACTTAAAAATGAAAATTGTAATTATTTGACCGGAACACAAAAGGGCACCAACTCGGCTTAACTTAATGAAATACCTTTTTTAAACAATAGCCAATTCGGTTAGGTAATGGGTGGACTGTGTTAATAATGTGGAGCGTGTTGAATATTTAAGATAAAAAATAAATGAGGCGAAATTCAAAAATTTGTTTTGGCCGCATTCAAGGCGTAATAATTGATCTTTAGTTGTGGGTATCTCACTATATTGAACCGTAGATATTCAAGCAACAATCGAACAAGAGCAAAAAATAAAGTGTTGATAACTATTAAATCTAACCATCGACAATTTTAATATTATTTTTGTTCTGTATTTTTAGATTGGTCTTTAGTTTATATAGTATGTAATCACAAAAGTGAGATAATATGTAAATTAGCTTTTTTTGTATCAATTTCAAATATTTTATAAACAAATGTATACTTTTAATTGTATTGTTTCCAAAACATTCTTAATCGTATCCAAGCTCAAATTTCGTATAGAATTTATTATACTCTAGAACTTCATGGAAAAATATTTGAGGACCAAAATAAATTGAAAGTATACACAAATAAAATCTACAGTGGATCAAACAATATTGTTGTCTGATAGATAGATATAATTATACTTTTCGCAGTTATTGTGACGATGTAAATGTGCAAGTGAGGGGAATGGGTCCACGCTCGAATACAGTCCATATTCGGTGACCAACGAACAATATTTATTTAATAATATTACCTATTTTTACTCGAGAGATGATGTTTATATTTTGTGGTTTGTGTAGGGTGGTTACGAGTTAGAAATCGATTATATCAGAAACTGCAACTCGGACAACATTGTCACACTCTCTGATAAATTTACAGTCGTCTTGAAACCTAATTGCGAAATACATGTCGACGGATGTTTTACCACTCACGCGAACATCACCAGCGCCATGGTAAATATTATTATTTATTCACTATATTTGGTACTATTTACTAGAGAAGAACGCTTTTTATTTTTACCCGAAGAATTTTTTTTTTTTTTATAATTTGATAATTATAGACAATTATACCATTTAAAACGTTAAAAAGTAGTACCTATTTAATAATTTTAATATGCATCGTGTGTATCAACGATAAAGGGAACATGAAATATTTCAAACACATTATGACAATACATTTTATTTATAGGTTTTTTTTACTGTAAAAGGTCATTAGGTCAATATTAAACCTCTTTTTGAAAACTTTTGATTTTTAATTTTTTTACTCTCACTCTCAACAACAAAAGTTTTTTGAATTAAACTCCCTTTCAGAGCCGAAATTTGAATTTTTAAAATTATTTAAGGCAACTTTGGCCTATACAATTTTTTCTAATTTAAAGATTTAAAGAAAGTGAGTTAAAGTTTTGATTTATGCACGATGTATTTATTTTTGTAAAATTCATGAAAATCCATAAAATAGCAAAATGAATCAGATTATATGGACAGGTTTAATATTTAACAATATACAGGTCGGTTCATTAACCATATAATGTACTCACCCTAGTTTAAATAACGCATTTATTTAAATTTTGATTTTTCAATTTTTTAATGTATTTATAATTTTAAACATCATGTTTTTAAATAAGTAGATGTATTAATGATTCAAATCTAGTTTTTCACAGCAATTGAGAACTTTCAAATTTTTTCTAGATCAATGCAAAACTCGATGCATCAGCTAAATCGAAATTCTAACTAGTGGTTTCCGTATTTTTGAGCTATTAAGCTTTTATGTACACAGCATGCAATAATTATATAAAAACGTATTAATGTACTGATCTGAAGGATATAATGGGTTCGTGCTTATTCGTTTAAAATTTTAAATCTCTTATTTACTACACTGCTACACATGTTTTACGTGTTAACTTTTTCTGCGAATTGTAATCGTAATGCTATAGGGGCGCCGGTTTTTGAATGTTGTTTTGCTTATATTGGTTTACTATAAATTATTATGTATATGGGCAAGTTTAATAATATAATATAATAGGTGTACAGGATGATTCATCAAGTATAATAAACTCATTATTCACCCTCGTTTAATCCTTCTAAATGCATGTCTTATCCAGTTATCCAAACCATATTTTTTGTAATTTTTAAGTATATTTATAAAGATCATATTTTTAAATACTTAGATTTTAATATTCCCTAAATAGCAAAAAAACACGTGTTACTTGTGTTAACATTTTTCTGTGAAATGTAATCATAATGCTATAGGTGTTGAAATGTGCCGCTCTTATGGGCATGATAATAATAATATTATTATGTAGCACGTCATATGATATATTATCATGTGTATATTATTATTATTATGTGATGCCGTCCGTATCGCAATAATTCAAATCGCGTATGCGTATCGAAAAAAATTGAATTATGAAGGTTTTTAAAGCCAACATCAGGATTCGATTTCGTTTTGATAAAATACGAATATACATATTACGCCTTTGTGCACAATTTAATCGTTACGCACCGGTCGCCGCGAGTATAGGCAGATATATAATATTTCCTGTAGGTGCCTATCTACCTATAATCGCGTATCGGTAACCGACTGCATTTGTCTTTTTTTTCGGAATTTATTCTATACGACTAGTATTATGCGCCACGTCATACTGTGTATGTAATATTTTATTGTTCACGAGGATTTGACATTTCGTGAATTCATCAAATCCTTGTGAATCATGTGTCTCCCGGCTAAGAGATAAATAGTGTATAGTATATGTAAGTATATAAGTAGATAATAATAAATAATAACAGTTGCATACTATACTGTCATCGGGGCCAAAAATGAAGCATAAAATAAAAACGATATATAGATATGAGATATCACCCGGCATGGGGGTGCACTCTCAAAAAATAAAAGCCATTTCTTATTATATTTTGAAGTAAATATAATATTAATAAATACGAAAAAAATGCTGTACTATTATACCTAGAGGTGCCGGATTTTGATCCAATCCAAAACATGATATTGAATAATGGCCTATTTTTTTTTTTTTATACATTTTGGATTTATTTTTTAATAATGGATCATCTAGGTCTTCCAGCTTTGAGCTGGTCTAGCTACTTCTAGTTGTTCAAATCAGCCCAATTTAATAAGTCTTCGACTGTATACAAATAGCTGTTATGGCATTATTGATTTGGATAATAAAGAGAGAGTAGATCACGTCGTCTTGACCTAGCTGTAATTTAGATAAATATAATTTACTGGATAGAATAATCAAGTTAAAATTGTTATGACAATTTAATATTGTTAGCATATAACTGTTTTACTCATATTAAGATATACACACATGGTACATTAGAATACATTTGAAATTAATGTTAAGATAATATACATAGCTATAATAAGGTAAATTAAATTAGTATATCTAGATCTAGATGACTAGATAGTCAGCAGATACAGATACAAGTATCTCAAGATACATTTAACAAAACAAACTATTTTTTTCTCAAATATTTAATATATTAAAAATATTGAGCCATGCAATTAAAGTAAAACAAATAATATATCATAAAAAATACAATAATTTGTATAGGTATATAGTACCTTATAGTATCCGAGGTCTCCAAACTTTTTTTTTCGAGGATCATATAAAATGAAAAAAGCGGGTAAGTGGATGTCACTCTGCTGTACATTAGGTGTCTAAGAGGTCGCTGTAGTGGATGGTATTACATTTGAATTCAATGATATCAAATCATTGTTTACGAAAAACGACTCTGAGTGGAGACGGTATGCCAGTTTAGGATATTTTATATTGTTATTACTTATTATTTATATGGTAGCCGGTAAGTTGAATTAATATTATTCTTGCATTATCAGTGATGCTGGAAAAATATTAAATATATCTATGTAAAATTGGGCTGTTTTGGAACTGAATTAAAACAAAATGATGACCATTATTCTCTGTGTTAATATACAATTTTGTCCAAATTTGAACTTCAAATGTTTGTAAAAAATAACTGTATTCGTACATTTTTTAGATTTATTTGTTATGGAAAAAACTGTTTAAGCGGAACCTTGTTAAAAATTGAATATTTTATAAATTTTTAACTACAAAATCATTTTCAATTTTCAACTTAATAAATATTGTCAAAATTTGAACTTTAAATGATTATAAAAAAAAATTGTGCCTATGTATTTTTAATATTTTTCAACTGCTATTGTAACAAGTTATCTAGAGCCTTGTATTAATTTTTCATGCTTTTTTATCCAACCAATAACATTTAATTGACATTCATAGAAAAAAATTTAAAAAAAGGTAAAATGGAAATGTCCGTCGACAGCCTAAAACGAGTCAGAATATTTTGAAAATTTTATCAAGTATATGAATTTATAAAATAAACATTTAGGATAAATTTCAAGTGTCTATAGCAATTTGTTTTTAAATTACAACAAAATAAGAAAGACGCTACAATAGAAATTGAGTGAATATCCAATGTTGTAACATTTTCAACTTCAAACTTTCATACAATTTAATTTGACTTTCCGGTAGAAATTTTTTATTTTTGATTAAGATAGAAAAACTTAAAAGGAATCTTGTATTAAATTTTTAAACCTTAGATATAAATAGAAAACATTTTATGAATTTCTAACTAAATATAATTTGCTAATTTTCATGATTTTTACGAATTTTGTTAAAATTCTAAATTTAAACACTCATAAAATTTTGATGTGGATTTAAGCACAACTTGTTTTTAAATTTCCATTATACAGCCTACAAGGAACCCTGTATTACATTTTCAAATTTTTCGACCGAGCGAAAATTATTTTATTGACTTGGTTTAAAAAAAAACAAATAATAATCGAAAATTTCATTTGTCTATAAATAGTTCAACACAAATCAAAATATTTTGAAAATTTGATGGTGTATAGAAAATGCTTACACAAATATTCAGTGAAAATTGTATGTATCTTCGGTCATTTTTGTTAGTGTTACACTAAAAGTCAAAATCGTTTTTTTTCGAAAAATGCTTTTGCGAAAAAATCCTCTTTTTTCTTAATTTTTTGTTTGTTTTTCATGTTGCTTTTGAAAACTATTGGGAATTTTAAATTTTGACCTTCCGAATGCACCAACTAGATTCACTTTCCTGCTAGAAATGGTGCTATTTAAGAAAATCGAGGCACTTTTACTGCAAAAAATCGCGATGACAGACACACAAAAAAAAAAATATATAAAAACATACATCATTATAAAATCAATGCATTCATCATTCCGTTTAGAATCTAAAAAGCTCTTATCGAGCCAAAATGTATGAATGTATATCATTTTTAATTTTATAGAAATATATGTACTTTTAAATATTTAAAAAATAAATCCTATGATATGCCTACCTTAATATACTGAGTTGTAAAAATAATTTGTTATGAATGAGAAGCATGAAATTGATGTTTTCTGCCAATATTTTATCAAATTCAGATTCTGTGTTATTTGTTCCAATTTTCAAAATTGATTCCAAATGTTTGTCAGACATTGCTGGCCGGATGAGGCCAGCTGGCCGTAGTTTGGAGACCCCTCTATAGACTAATATAGCAATAATTGCATCTTAAAAAGTATTTCCGATATTCATTTAAGATACACAATATTTTGTATATATGTACATTAGAGCACTGAATACATATACAATATGATCTGTGAAGGGTTTGGATTTGGGACCTCTTTACAAAATGTGCAGTCCCAAAAATATTGGTCTAGTACAGTCATATCAAAGTATTAGCTGAACCAATTATATTGAATAGTTTACTTATACTTGCGGCCCACAGCCAAATAAACACAAATTTATCGGAAAAAAATATTTTATACAAAGTTGTATTCGTTATGGACACGACCGGTAAAATTAAATAAATATAAATACAAATTACAAAACAAATTGTTTTCTAAAAATTTTATTTTACGAAATGAAAACTGTATACACCTAATATTTTTTTATAAATTTATTTTTCGAATTATTTGTCCATAAATATTGGTACCCGCGGGCTTTAAAAAATGAGCAACTAACCACGTGTTAAAAGCTTGGTCTAGTAACACTATATACTATAGATACAGTTTATAGTATTGCTCCTACAAGGTCCGGTGTCGTATAATATATACAGCTGAGCGTAGTAGGTACCCATATACATAACATTTAATAATATTACACGATTTCCAGGTCGACTTCACCTTCCAAAAGGACTTGATAAAGGTGTCGGGCAAAAGGGACGGTTGCAAACAGCTCGACGACGTGAAATCATCGAGTGACATTCAAATGGGTTTGGAAATACTCGGACTGCCGAAGAGCTGTCCAATTAACAAGGTCTGTCGGTCACATTGTTTAAATTTTAATTGATATTGTGTAGCGCGATTTGTGACGCAGGCCACGATAACAATATATAATTTATATTGTATGAATATTTATATTCCGATTTCCGGAGCCGTTATTGGAGTCATTCCGACTGCAGCAGTGTAGGCACGCTGTGTATAAATTGTTATCGTTTGCAGGGGACAGTGTGCTTGGATAAACCGATTAACGTGAGCAAGTATAAATTACAAATGAACATGTTAGCCGGCCATCTCAAGGGGAAATCGGTAACGACCACTAACGCGGGCAAGACCTGTATGGAGTTTTCGCTAAAATTTGTCAACGTGCTCATAAAAGCCATCGGCCGCGGTGTGATTGGTTGAAATCTATGAACATAACCACTACCTTCTTAAATATAATCTAATATTATAATACATTTATAATGTTTAATTGCGTTGTGTATGTACCTATATAATATCATCATATATCTCATCAACTATATAAAATAAATTAAAACATATTATTTTGTAAATACATTGTAATAATCTACCTAATGATAAAAGTGTGAAATAACACACTTTTGAATTTTTTTTTTAAATCAAACACTCATTACCATCACTGTCGAGTTTTGAGTTTTTCAAAAATGTCCGCACATATTATAACAACACTATGTCTCTGAAAAACCTTGGCCAACTATAGCAAGCACCCCATAATTAGGTACTAGTATCTGATCAACATAATTTTTAGAAAAATTATAGTATAATATTTAGTGAGTAAAATAGAATAAATGTAATAAAGTTCCTATGTTGATGAAGGTATTTTAAATAAATAAGAAAAGAAACAAATGCATAATTTGAATATAGCCAAATTAAATTATGAATAAAAATTATATTAAATTAAAGACATTTGTCTTTATTGCGACAAATTTTTATGGTACACAGAAAAACTAGGACAGTTTCTTTGAGCAAACCTGTTGCCGTCTATTATCATTTATCTCCTGTCACTTCTAAAAAATTATATTTCATAATTTTTGCTTCAAAATATTTTCAATCTGCTCCTTATTATAAAAGTGTATACTTATACTAGAGATGGGTCGAACTTTTTGAAGTTCGAAAAATCGAACCAAACACTTAAAATTTCAAAAATCGAACAGAACTCAAAAAAAAAGTTCGAAGTTTAATAGTTAGTTTAAAAAATATTACTGATTCCAAAAAATAGTGGAAAACGTTTTGTTCATACTTTTCGAACAAAACAAGTTTTATATTTTATAATTTGGTTTGACATAAAACAAAAAAGTTTGAGTCGTAATTTGGATTCAAAAGGTCTGTTTAAATTCAGTTCGGCTTTAGACAAAATATTTGGTACGTGTTCGGATCAATGTTGAACATAATATGCGTGGGTTTTTCGGGATGATCTTAATAAAATTGAAAAAAAAAACTATTTAAATTAGCTTCAAAATAGATTTCAAAATAGATAGTTCTCGTCTGATTTAAGCGCGTCCATCGACCCACAAAAACATTATTTATAGGTTTATTAACATTATCTACGAGAAATCGGCGGTTTTAGAGTAATCACTGAGCTCTCTCTTGCCATCGTCGAAGCTGCAGTGTGCGGAGCGACGACCGTAACTCCTCTTGTCCCCTTCTCGTACCACCGGGTTATATAGAATCGTTAGCGCACGGCCAAAGCGCCAAGTCTCCTCGTTCGCCGTACCGCATTTAACACAGCACGCCACTTCCATTTTACCTCTACTCGTCGTCGAAATTTACCACGTAAAAGTTTTGGGGTAGTTGATGGCCATTTTTCAAACGCAATCTGCTGTCTTTGCAAGCACGCGCCATCTGTTTCGGTTACAATACGTATATATTACATTTATAAATACGCTCGGGATCGTATCATATTAAGCTTCAACGTCCGCGGTGTGCGTATATTTTAGCGACCGCACTTGAAAATTATTTTTTTTCATTTTAAAACATTATTACGGGGTTTTTATGATCATTATTATTTTTAACGTAATATTACAATATTTTGTATAATACATTTACGAAATTATCCTAAGCATATGGAATGGCGTGCGCGTTATATTATGACGTAAGACGTGTATTTTTTTAAAACATTTTTATTGATGATTCGCAAAAAAAAACAATAATAAATTTATTTCATATTAAATGATAATTTTTATTTCATCTGAAAACCAAACAAACATTTTTGGTTTACGCTGTTTACAGCCTTTTGAATACTGATATTTATAAAATAATATCGATGAATTGTTTTGTGATTCTCGATTGGTTAAGTTGGAAATGTCTTAAAAATATAATGAAATATATCTGTATAGGCATGAGGGGTGTGTCCAAAGATACAAGCAGAATGGACCTCCCACCATTGAGGATACAGCTTAAAAGTTTGGTAGAACTTGCGTCCCATTATTCTGCTCCCATAGTTCTGTAACACAATATGTTGGCGGATATTATGTTGAGTCAGTGGTAAGTTTCTTCCTCACTTCACATTGAACATGTCTTCTTCTTATTATTTCTCAGCTCAACGGACCTGAGCTTCTATGAGCAATCCTCTCCATTTTTCCCCGTTGAAGGCCAATTCAACTGACCCATACATACTCGTACCGTCCAAATATCCTTATTTGCACCAGCTTTCGTCTCGTTCACTGTCTACGTATTTTGGCCCCTTCTTAATATGTATCGTTTCAGTATGAACTTTGTCAATAATATTATAATTAGCTCTACATACACAGGTTCAATTCAGTCCATGTTCACTTGGTTCTTGTATACCTAATATGATACCATATTTGGTTTTCCAAACAGTTTGTACAGGTCGTGATTTTTTTTCTTTCGAACGGCGTTTATAGATTGATGTTATAGCTCAATTGCTGTACACTGGTTATTGAACAAAAAATATTTCTCAAAACCTTTAATTCAAATATCGCAAATCTTTTTTGTAATATCCCTTGTAAATGTACATATTATTATCATAATATTATTTATACTATTTTAATTTTATATCGACTTATTTCAATTGTATGAAAAAAGAATATTTATGAAAAATGTTTTCAATTATTCTGATCAGGTCTTTTCAAATATTTTAATTTTATTTTTCTTCTTACCGACTTACTATTATTTTTTACTCCGTCCCCTTTCAACCACGATAAATTCCTAGCTAAATCCCTGTCTCAGTCTACTATCATGACTACTGTCTATGGTTATTGGAAAACTTTTTTGAACCATCGAGATGTATAATACATTTCATATCATGTTATGAACCAACCATACTGAAATAGTGTGATCTACGGTATTATTATATAAAGGGAGGTTTTCATATACAAGGCTTACTTAAATGCTTTGCTGTGATTGGTTGGTTAGGTTATGTGACCACACAATTAACCATATTACCGTGTTGTTGGACATAGCTGAATATTTTTCGTGTACATGGCACACGCGTACCCAAAATTTTAAAACATGTCACGGCGCATTTACCATCCGACAATCTTATCGAATATTAGATATATGATAATAAGTTAAAATTGATAACAAATTTGAATTTTATTAATGTACATTATACAAAGTTATTTTTTTATATTTTATTTACTTATACTTAATTTATTAATTTATTTAACAACATCCAAATTCCCACCTCACTCACCAAAAAATACCTTAGTGTTAAGTTCGACAAAAGATTAACGTGGAATCACCATATCCACACTACCAAAATTAAGCTACACCCTCGCCTTCGTTCTCTTAACTATTTCTTAAACTCTAAATCCAAACTCTCAATCAGTACCAAGCTAATGCTTTACAAAAGTCTACTGGGTTAGGTTAGGTTTACCTAATACATAGGAAATATAAATATTAAAAAAAAAAAAAACAATACCAACAAAAAAATGTTGAACATGTAAAATTTAAATGTCCTCAAAAAAACACTGTTATAAATATATATTATACATATTAATTATATTCGGACGGGTACCTTAGAATTTAAACCTTCCATTGTTTGCAAATAAATTAAGTAATAAGTAAATAAAATATAAAAATAATTTTTTTATAATTGTCATTAACAAAATTCAAATTTGTTATTAATGTTAACTTGTTATCATATATCAAATATTTGATAAGATTGTCGGATGGTAAATACGCCATGACATGTTTTAAAATTTCGCCCACGCGTACAGTGGAAACCTGCCTTAATACGCATTTTATAATCTATGGTTATTGGTTATATTTTAAAATGTTGTGTTAAGTTTCTTGGAACAGAATTAATTTTCTATCTGGCTTACTTGATGTATTCTATATAATTATTATTTTACGACAGGTATTAAAAAAACTTTAGAAGAAATAATAAAATGAAATATTATAATTAATATTATTATTATTATATTATATTATTATTATATATTTTGTTATTATTTTATTATTATTATTAGTCATTTGAAATTGAGATAAGGAAAATACTATTACGCTCTATTTATATTTACATAACGTCTATTACAGGCCAAATACAATCAGAGGTTGAATGAACAAACCTCTCTTTGTCATACGTATCTTATGCAAACAAATGTCCCGAACATTTCTGACCAACCATGGATTCTAAGGCTTGAGCCTTAGATGAAATTCGTCATATTGTAATCAAATACCTTAGGCTGCGATTGTGCCAGATCCTACTATCTGTACTTTCCAAACACGCGTTCTATTCCGGTCTTAATCAAAGTCCACCATGTATCATCGCCAATTGTGGAGGAGGCTTCTGTCATTTCGTTCTCCTTATCGTTAATTGTACAAACAACGAAAACAGATCTATCCTTTCGCTTATTAATATCGATTTTTCAATGGGAATCTCTTGATTTATAATTACGAATTTCTAACTAGAATTTTTCTAAATGCCATCCTGAAAACAGTCTTAATAATTTAAATATTACATAACGCATTTCATTTTGAATTATCGTTAGGTAATTCCTCGTTAACCCTTATGTGGTTGAAATATAATAATTTATGTAGACATTGCAATGTAAATACAAATTCTTTGCATTTTATAATCGCACCTAATTATCTACATGACAATATTGTTCGAATACTGAATAGTAATGACTATGAGCGTATAATAACATTAAGAGTAGGTAATTCATTTGTATTTAACGCCGTGATTTGCACACAATATAATGGTGTAGTACGTTTTAAATATTTTGTCAAATCATAGAAAACGTCGCCGTCGTCTCAAATTTTATTCAAACTCATTATTATATACGACCGAGCAATAATTAATAAATATTATTTACTATTTGTTATTATGTACTTATTATAATATGTATTCTGGGTGATTCATAAGCATGCTCACCCCGATTTTACGTTTAAAATATGCATATGCAACATGCACACATGTATTCAAATTTTGTGTTTTGGAATATTGCACCCAATAATTTCAAAACACAAGTAAATAATGTCCTTTTACTAAACTTTTATCTTTAGCATTTAAAGTAGAAAAAATGCAGAAACTTTTCGTTAGTTCCGATTACAGCAAGTTCAGGGAAATCATCTGATTCACACTTTGTATTAAACATTGTTAGTATTACCACTGGTAATATTTTCTATAGTAATATTCGAAAATATCGGTTTTAACTATATTTGAAAATTCCAACACTCAGAATTTGAATATATATTATGCATGATTTAAATTTTAAACATAAAATTAAGGAAATTATGCTTCAAAAATCACCCTGTATACTCTGTTTATTATAATAATAATATGTTAAATAATAATCAATTGTATATTTTTGTCTCATTTTGTTTCTGGGCCCTGGTCTGTACACTATTATATACACATTATTATAAAATTAAATAAAAATAAAACATTAATAATATGACGTATGTATATATTAGTATCCACCATTGCCTTACGTTGGTTACAACTGCAGTAGGTGTATATTAGTCGTATAAGCATCGCTTATGCTATGTAGTCCTGTCGACCTTGAAATATCCTTTCACCTGCGCGGAGCTGCGTGGAAACCATCAGTGCAGGTTTGTTATGTTTTGTGTATATTGTTGCCTTGGTAGCATGTATGTGTATCATAATGATATAATATTATAGCCAGACTACAACAACAACTACAACTGATACTGCAGCTCTACGTCTTATCAAACTGTAATGATATAACAATAAAGTTTTAATTTTTAAAGTCCAATTTTTGTTCGATTTCTATGTACACCAAAATAATATTGTTATATATATATATTATACTATAACGTAAGATTAAATGTCTTTTATCAGTGTGTATTGAAATCACCAGACACCTCTATTATAAAGTGTTCGGTGTTATACTCAGTGATACTATGGTATATTATATCATATTATTGTAGTTCCGCTGTTTTCATTATCAACCATAATGACCGTGAGTACCTTCGATTTTTTTATACACACTCATTCAATACGCTTGCAAAAAACATATTGTGGTTGTTATCGTATTTAGTGTAATTCGAAGGAGTGTAAGTGATGACAACGGGAGGAGGAGACCGAAATTAGTATTTTTATTCAAAGATTCCAACAGAAAATCGAAATTCCATAAGACGTGCTTTTCAAACTTTTGCGCAGAGTAAATTCTTCGATACATACCTACCTATATACTATTAGTTTTTATTACAACCGTACATTAAACTTAAACAATATACTATAAATATATAGACAATAAAGTCTGCACGTAAACAAGGCCACATATCATTGTAGGTCTAGCTGCGATTTCGGGGGCACAGCGGCCCAAAGTTTCATCGTTTGTTTATTTATTCCGTGCGGTTTGGCAAGTCAACACACACTCACAACCACATCCACCCACCCACCCACCCACTCGCCCACACTCACACACACATACATATATATCGTACGCGAGTCAAAAGCCAAAAACACAATATAGATAAAGTTTTTATTTCGCGGTAAGTTTATCACCGCCCTCCGGGCCAAAGGAGGATGACAACGCGTAACAAATATGCAGTATATAAGCTATGCGAAACAACTGCATAGGTATCGTCACCTATTTATATACATATAGGGGCACGGAAACGGACTATAATGTCTTTTACGTTTCTTATATTGCAAATAAATGCATATGCTCGGCCGTTATCGATTATTATAGCCTTTCGATGGCCAACCACAAAGGCAAACAGCCGACGACTTCGTAATGGCTGTAACCGGTGTAGGGTTTCCAGATTTTGAACTCACCAAGCATGATACTGAATGATCTATTTTTTATAATGTTCATTATATGTATATGTTACGGGCAAAGTGGAAAATTCGGGCAATGTATACAATGCCCGGGCATTGTACACAGTGACCGGGCATTGTATACAATGTCCGGGGTATATTGGGCATGGTAAATTGTGAAGTATTTATACAAATAATCTGCATAATATTATTTTACCTAATCAATGATATTATATACTAATAATTATTATACTCGTTTATATGGTTATTTATATAAGAGTATTAGAATTTTTTTTTAATTAATTCAATTTTAAATGTATTTAAAGGTAATGCAATAAAATATTATGTGCATAATGTTCAGTTATATGATATTATACATGAAGTTCATTTGTCAATTGGACATGGAGGTAGAAATAGAATGGAACACGAGATTAATAAAAAGTACAAAAATATAACTAGAGATGTAATAATGTTATACTTAAATAATTGCGAATCGTGTAAAAAGAAGGGAAGTACAGCTAAAAAAGGGTTGGTTGTAAAACCAATCATATCTTCTGAAATGAATTCTCGCTGTCAAATTGACTTGATCGACATGCAAGCACAATCAGATGTCGATTATAAATTCATATTAGTTTATCATTATCATCTAACAAAATATATTATGCAGATTATTTGTATAAATACTTCACAATTTACATTGCCCAATATACCTCGGACATTGTATACAATGCCCGGTCACTGTGTACAATGCCCGGGCATTGTATACATTGCCCGAATTTTCCACTTTGCCCGTAACATATATATTATTTTTTTTACGCTAATAGAAATATTTTAATCAAATAATATTTTGCTTACTATATCTATTGATTATTGTACTTTTCACTTGAATACATTTTCATCTTTATAGTTATATAACTCTTAATTCGTTAGAAGTTAATAACCAAAATTCATTTTGCAGACCATATTAGGTCTCGTACTGTATTTTCATTCATCTTCCTCCTTCTCTTTCTAGAAATTCCCGAATTTACCGAAAATTCCCTGAAAATCACCCCCAATATCGTCAAGTCTTGATAAATCGGATCTCAATAACTCGAAAACTTTGATGTCAACTCTCCCCTTGAAATACAGTTTTTGGGTTGTGTTGGAGGCATTTTATAACTAGAAAAATTCACAAATCCAATTTTTTTTTATAATTTTCGAGGTTCGATTTAAAGGGACTTGACTGTATTTTGGTTCTGTGTTTCAACGTGATCAAACAGTGAAGAAATCTGGAATGTTTAAGCTTAAATTTACACTCCACACTATACAGTATATTAGTTGATCGTGATACGATACGCACAATATTATTATGTCGTATCTGAAAATAATAAGTCCTTACTGAAAAACAACTATAATATTTTAAGATAAAATTGTTTTGTTCAGTCACAACCTGCACAACACATAATAAGCGAACAATGAATGTAATGAACAATTTGACCAGATATTATCATTTCCGCAATTCGGGTATAATAGTAATAACGATTAAGATTTTAGTCTTTATTGCTGAGTTGAATATTGTACTATGGACTTATAAAAGACAGAAAAGGGCAGCCCATTCAAACTCGAGATTAAGGTATTATGTGTGTGAGCAATTTAATAAGATAGAATTAAGAATTAATACAATTTTAATCCGATTAGAAAAAAAAGCGAGTACAAATAATGACATTTTTACACATTTTTATTTTGTGAAAAATAAATGTCTGTATGATTCATTAAAAAATATATATTTCTACCATATTGAGAATTGTTTTCAAAAGTATTTATTAATTTACTTAACATTTTTTGTTTAATTTTGGGTTATTTATTTTGTTTATTAACTTTTATTTATCTTCCACGTTTTTTGACTCAGTCGTTTTTGAAAATAAAAAAATCACGTAGTTTTTATCCGGATCTTTGTATCTGATTATTATCACAATGTTATTATGTTTAGATACTATTCCTGCGTATATCTAGGTGCGATAGGCATACTATATTATACAGATCAATGTTTAAAAGTGTTTATTGCAATGGTTTTGATATCGCTAAAATTAAACTAGCGCGATTAAAGACTTGACATACCATTAACAATATTCAATATATATTATTATATTTATTCGGCGATGTCATTGATTACAAATATAATTATTTTTGTTGATATTAACAATAATTATTAATGCAGAACGGATATGATCGGCGTTTTCTATATAACACTCAAATATCTAATCATGTGCCACAAATATTGTACTTGCGTGCATACATAGAATGCGATTTACTTGAGTGAGTTACCGAGATAATAACACGGTTGATATAATATACAGTTATGCTCAACTGTGCGAGCAAAGTTTTTGGAATATATTATGATATTATACTCGTTGAACGATGAAATGTATACCTATTGGCTATTACACTACATTTGTACAACAAATGGAATTCATAATATTATTAGTAGGTAAACTCGGTAGGTACCAACATTAATTATAAATATTGGTACGTAATTTAAGGTAATTTTAATGTAATATTGAAATACGTTATTAAAAATGTTAAATTAAAATTTATGTATCATAAATGGGTGATTTATGTTTTCATTTAATATTTATATGGTAGGTACTGTTGCATTATTGTAATTATAAGGGTAGATGTTTAATTGAAAATAATAATTGTTTTTTGACTAAATTAGTTCGATTTTACAGTTGAAATCAAAACGAATGAATTATCATATCATATGTGTTAAAGTTAACTATATTTTGTTTTGTTTTCTTTACATTTAATTTTTATATCAAGAATAGGATTTAAGAACTACCCAATGATCTAGTCTACTTAGACAAAACAGTTATTCGACTTCGGTCCTATTTGTCACAATATTAATTTTTCAATACCTAAACTTAACAATTTGATAACTAATCACCTTTTTTAAATTAAAAATAATATTGTATGATATTATTATTGTTTATATTTAAAATTTAAAGTATAATATACTAATATTTATGTTTTCGTAACAGGCTGAACGAGCAAAGTCAAAAATTGGTCGTTGGGTCGATGAAACTATGAAGTAAGTGTATTTAAATAAGACCTGCACACTAGTAACTATGTCCTTTTTTTTTTAGGCATCCCTTACGTTTACACTTTATAACAATATTATATTTGGTAATTATTGAATATAATTGGTTTATATGTTACGGGTTAGCTCTTAAAAAGGGTAGTGTAGGTACATACAAATTCATGCAGAGTAATGTATACATTTCGGTATATCCGAATTGGTTTCCGGGTTGTTTCGAATAGTATAATATCCGAAATGGTTCCGAATTATTTAAAAAGAATTTTCGATTTTCCTTCCCAATTTTTACAGACATTGGACTGTCAATATATGATGGAGATCTTGTTAAAAGTTGTGTTTTTTTTTGTTTTGAAACAGTTCATAGTGTAGGTTATATTTTAAATTAAAAAATATAAAATAAATAATTATTATGCTTATAATAATAATAATAAATATAATTGGTTTCTTTGTTTTTTCAATATCATACATTAATCAACTCGAAAGCGATTTAGAATAGGTATTATGAACAAATTAGGATGTCAATTTTCAGGCGTGGGAACCAATTCGGATGCATCCATACATTATATATATTTAAGGTGATTATCCGATGAAATTAAGCACTAGCTCAATGGTTCCTAACAGTTTTTATTCTACGTCTTTTTTGTAAATTTTCAAAAATCTCACGCCCCCCCCCCCTCTTAAATTAGAGTTTTTTGTTTGTTTTATTGATACAAAATAACTATATATAATACAAATAATGAATTATTTTCTTTTTTCATCATTTAAAAATAAAATATAAATCAATTTAATAATTAATAATATTATTTTTATATTTTTTTAATACATAGTATAAATAATTGTATATTAAACATCATATTATTAAGTAAAATTAATTTATTGTTTTCAATTTTACTGGTTGTAAAATGGCATAATTATTTTAACAACAAAATTCTCTTAATTTTATCATCAGTATATGTTAAACTGATGGTAAGACCAATGATGCACCAAACATATAAAATAGTTCATATTTTAAACAGTATAATATTCTAGAAACAAAAACCAAATCATACTAATCCGAAATGAAAATGTATTATAAGATTACTATTAAACTATTAATTATATATTTGAACAATTTTATCAGGTATTTAATTAAAATTTATCAAGTAGAATCCGATTTATTTGAAACAGTTGATGTCTGTGAAATATTTTTGGATTCAGAACGAAGCGAAGAATGTATTGATTAAACAATGTGTGTTTTTATTTATTTTTCTAGTAGAAAAAATGCACCAAACATCAACTTTGAGGGAGATTTCTAATAATAAATTTGATTTAGTTAGTACTTTTGGGTAGTCACAATTTAATATTTTAAGTAATTTTTTTAATAATTAGAAAAAACTAGGCAACTACTCTGTTTTACTGTAAGTGGCGAGTGTACCTCGTCGTTAAGTAGAGGTCACTGTAATGAATTATTAGTTAAATTTAAATTTAACCATAAATCATCGTAAAACAACGAAAAATGATTTTGTGTGAAGTTTTTTGTCAGCCCATATTACAAAATATATTTTGTAAAATATTCTTTGTCTCTTTGATGTTGCTCTTAAATTGAGTAATTTTATTATTAGTATTTGTGTATTACGATTTACTGTAGGATGATTTAATTTTTTTATATTTTATTGAATCTTAGAAACATTTCCAAATCTTAGTTATAAATATTAAACATTTGAGTAAATTTTAATTAAAAAATAATAGTTGCAAACTATCTTGATTTTTGACTCTAATTTCCGCTGGAAAACGATTGTACTTTAACAATTTTACGTACAGATTTTTTTTTGTGGTTACAACTTTGAAAACATCTATTATTGAGTGGGTTTTCATAAAAAAATGATTATCTAAAATAGTTATTTTATCAATGTATGTACTTACTTCACAGTTTACCTACTTACTGAGTCGTAGATAATATTATACTAATTATCCGAGTAATTTACAAAACAAACGTTTTATGGATAATATTTTTACTTTTTTAAATTATAGGTATGGGCATGACGTTTAGTGTTTTTCTTACCCGGATAATGTGTATATTATCAGTCTTTCGTAATTTACGCATAACTTAAACATAATGTTAGTGTGTAAATATCACAATTATTTTAAACTATATAAATGAACATTATCCTATCCCTCTGACTGTTTTTGGCGTTGTAGGACATCTTCCTCCGATACATTTGTTGAAGTGGACATTTTCTCCCCATATCTATTTTTAAAAGTTTATTATTTATTCTGAAATAATTTTTATTTAGAAAATCTTTTAGCTGCTATATTTATTTAAAATTACATGTTGACTTAATTATAAGTAAGCATATTAAATAGGAACAAATAAAATAAAAATTGTGGAAAAGGTCACGGTTCTTTATATCCTACATTATAAGAATAATTTAACCTTCCATAATGACCATCCTCCCATCAAGCATCTAAATAATTCTACAAACGATTCCATAAAAATCTAACTACATAATCATTCATTCATCTCATCTAAAATTGATCCTCTCTAGACCTAACTGATACAACTTGTGGACTGAAAAGAAAATGGTCCAAAGACCTTTTAACATAATTATTGTTTATACTTTATACTCAATTTTATTAAAAAATACTTCAACTCAGATATATAGACAACTTATTATAATGTTATTACTTATTATTACTTAATATGTAGATAGGTAGGTATAAAAAGTGCAATAGAAATACCCAACATATTTAATAACTTGTTCTCACCAATATTTAATCATTTTTTTTAATACCAAAAATAACATTTTTGATTTTTTTTTAAAATTCAAAACAGTAAAATAAAATAAAAAAATTATAAATACAGTTTTTGAGAAATCTTGATGGTAAAAACGTTTGATTAAGTCAAATAGTTTATTTTTTACAATTTTTTAAAAAATAATTTTTTTTTTTAGTACCTACCTACCTAAATTAGTTTGAAAAACTTTTTTCAAAATAATCTTTTTGGGTATTTTCTGACAGAAGAATACTTCTTAAGCTATTTTTTATTCAAATACATTCATATTTTCGGCATCAATTTTTTTTTATGTGTCAGGACTTTCTGCTACACTCTGTATTTTTAGAATAATGTCAATGGATATTTTCTTTATCATTTATTTTTCTTCTCTGATAAAATTTTCTTAATATAGATTGTGAATGAAAATAATTTAATTATAATGAACAAATAAAATAAAAATAAAAATATTTTAAGAAATTACTATTTACCTAATTGTTTTCACAACGAACAACAAGAAACTATTTTTTTACAACTTTTTAATGATTCTAAATACGTCGATATGTTTTTAATTATTTATGTTAGAATTTTAAAACAATTGTTTGATATATTAGAGATTTTAAATGATTTAAAATTGTTCGGGTGTATATTTACACTGCACTAGAGTAGCTTAGAAACCATTTTGTGTAAGATTATTTTTCTCTCATTTTTTTTGCCAATTATAATATTTTGTGCTTTGTCAATTTTTTTATTTGACTAATAATGTTCACTGGTAATTTTTTCTGCAAGAGACATATTTTATTATTTAGTAAGAAACATAAACACTACAACTATTGATTAGTGATTGATAAATCATAACATATTAATTATGTACATTGCACATACTGCATACATAGTTCACACATGCATATGTGTACATCCATATTATAAAACAGAAAGCGTGTAATGTAAAAATGTTATGAATGATAATTACAATCTGGAGCTGGGTGCTAATGATTCATAAATCGCAGCTTCCCCCCTCCCCCCGACCTAACCACTATGCCACGTCTAATGCACAGTACAGCAATTCCAATGTTTTCTTTTGCGTACAACAATAAATTATTGTGCGTTGCTAATAAATTATGCAGTTATGAATATTATAAAAACGACTTTATGCTTAATGATAATGTTACCACTGTGTTGTTTTGTTGTAGAGGAAAATTCGATAACTTTGTTGGTTCACGAAAGAAATCAAGCTCCAACACGGCTACAAAAATAAACAATGGTAATTTAAACAATACAATAGCTGAATTTGTGTACCTATGGTAAAAAATGATTGTGATAGAAAACGAGATTGTGATGAATGCAAATCGCTTCGATAAAAAAAATTGTTAGGGGATTGGTTGAGATGTGTGTTAATTGGATAAATACAGTTAATTAATGATGTTATTACTTATTATGAGAATAATATTATAATGTATGGGCATACAGCATATTATACATTTTTTAAAAACAGCCAACTGCCTATATTATACCTCAGAAGATAATTATTGTAATCGATAAATAAATAATTTTACCATATTATAATATAGGTTGAGTAGATATATTAGTATTTATATTAAGTATGACGTTAGTAGGTACCTACTTGTAAAATTCATTTTTGAGTTATTATTGTTCATTGTAAGGTAGGTACATAATATAATACGTTATAACTTATAATGTATCATGTGTAAATTTTTATTATTATATTTGTAACAAGTAATAACAATAGGCAACACAATTAATTATTATTGTAATTTGTACTTATTATCTTATTATTTACTATTATAATATTAACCTTAACACACTCTGTCATATAATACATAAATATAATTAAACAATTCGTATTGTACATTACATTTAATAACTAAGACTAGAGATGTCAAGATGTGAGTTTTTATAATACAGTGGTATAAAATTAAACTATACAGGCTGTATACATACAACAATTATATTAGATTGTTGATATTATTAGAAAATCAATTTTATATTAAGCATACAATTTACCGTGAATAGTAACTACATTATTTTACAAATCATTTTAATTGTTTCTGGTCATTATAAGGTATAGGTATCAAGACTGATAGCATAAAGCTTAAAAATATATTAATTTACTCTAAAGTGATTCTAGTATTATTGTGGTTTTTAAAATGTTTTCTGAAATCATCAAGCTATTTTAAAATTGGTCATAAAAATATAATATACCATAGTTGTCGTTCTATAACCTGTGTTCAATTTCTTCTATACGGTTTAATACTGGTTTTATACCGGTATAATAAAATACTGTATTTTGAAATAATATCCAACTAAAATCGTTTCAGATATACCAATACTGCCGGATGCAGAAGAAAATATTGACGCGGATTTGTTATATACCGTAAAACCCGCAGAGTTGCATTCGAGAACGTAAAATATATAAAATAATAATAATTTGGACTTTAGTAATATATAATATTATTATTTAACCAATCGGGATTACTATCGTGTTTCAGGACAGAATCCACTTATGAAGAGGAAACGATGAGACCTCCGATTAATTTGGTCGATATTGATCTTGGACTATTATTCAGCAACATGACGCAGAAACATCACTTGGAAGACGTACGAACAATATTACTTTTGCAAATTTTAAAATATCGAAATAAGCTTTCATAGTGCCCTAGATAATATTTTTACATTTAAATTTTATAATAGGCCAATTTACTCTAATATTAAAAACGACAGAGTAAAACGGATTGTTCTTAACGTTTTACTGTCTATGACCCAGTGGTGACCGTATAGGTAGGCTACTAAGTCCAACCCCCTAAAATGTCTTCCTTCTACAAAATAAAAACTCTTATTTATCACCCTAATCAATACACCGAGCAGATTAATTGTTAGTAATTTTTAATAAATATAAAATAAATTGTAAAATGGCAATAACACCAAGAATCATAGTTTCTTTTAGCTGATTATAACATCGCTAAATGACTGCGTTAATCGTCGTGCGTATCATACACCTTCGATTATTACCACGGTTATTACAGCCTGAAGACTGAAGAGGCTCTACAAAATAAATGGCCTGGTTTATTACTCTAAACCTCGACTATATCTACATTTGAGACTAACTCTATAATTTATTTTGTTTTAACCAATTTTATAAAAACGTTTTGGCAAAAAAAAATAATGTAACCGAGGATGAAACACCCCTCACGGGCTTGAGATTATTTTTAAGTAAAAACCTAACCGAATAACCGAACTTAAGTTCTAAATACTCTACTGGACTCCCATGTTAAGCGTTAGAAAGATAGAGACATCATGTCATGTGGGTGATGGGTATACACTATACACTATACAGTCCTCTTATTCTGGTGTATATCATGTCCGCTGGTATTTATTGGAAAACTGATTTATAAATAAAATACCATTAAGTATCACTTGAATAATTAACGGTGATTAAAATATAATATTATAAATAGCATCAAAGGTAGCCTATTATAATCCATATAGGTATAGTATTATATAATATATCATTAAATAGGTAGTATATATTGTTATTGTATTATAAAATAATTAAACTTTTACGCAGCACATTTAAAAACTAACATTATGAGTAATTAAACATTTTTTTCCATTTAAAAGCATAGTGTACACATTATTATTCTAAATCAACATACATAATAATATTCTGTATGAATAATATTATGTACGATGAATAATATGACTGCAGAACAAATATTATACGTATTTATATACGTATCACAAGTTTTGTGAATTATATATATATATCATTTTTGTATCAATTTTTGTATTTTTTAATGTATAAAAAAAAAGATAGTAGCGTTGGTAAATTGAAAGATAATTCAACTTGAAAATAGTTTCATTTTTAAGTTGAAAATTGAATGGTTACTTAGTCCCTTTTGTATATGAAAAATGAACTTTATAAAAAAAAAAAATTAAAAAACTTTAGTTTTAACAATAAATTATGCATAAAAAACACTATTTTCCATTTAAATTTATATATTCTAAATACAGGAATGACTGAATATTGTACAAAATGTTACACAACACAATATTATAGGCCAGTAAATCAAAAACTTTTACTCTACTACAATGATAAATTACTCACTTTACCACGTTTTTATAATTGTTTTTCTTTTAATTACCTACCTAACATAGTCGGAACTGACATTTCCCACTTTACTTTTCAGGTAATATTTACCACTCAAGTAGACGTTAAGAGGAAACCAACTTTGAATAAGTTGGTCCAAGACTACCTACTAAGAGTCTTTGGAGATATTTTTTTTGTAAATAACGTCTAAACATTAGATATCTTATTAAAAATAAAATATAGGTCCTTTTTCTTTTTATCATTCTTAAAATTGAAAGCTCCTTTTATAATTGTATTTATTTTTTCGTATAAATCTAATTCGCCAACAGCAAAATACGTGTATAGACTCGAATAGACTAGTTTTAACATAATAAGTACCCTGACCTTATTCTACTAGAAGTAGACGGCGTAAGCTTCACTGCATTTATTTTGCTTAGTTCAAAATATTAATTATATAGTTTAAATGAAAGTTATTCTTTTCAAGACTCTAGGAAAATTTAATTTACTAATCAAACGTTTAGTACTTCCAACAGCAAATTTAAATATAGTTTTTAATCATCCTTATCCATGGCATATGTATAATTTATTTCATTCCTTAAAGTCAATATTTATTTTAAACATTTAGTACTTTAGAACGGGTTTCGTGCAGAAAATCATTAAAATGTTCACAAAAACTCATCTCAAATTCGAGAAAATAATTGTTGTGTTAACGATTTTAATTAACCAGGAAAATTTGATTTTTTTTTATACTCATTAAGGAAAAAAAGTTATAATGATAGCCTTAACATATTCTATACTATACCTATTTCGGTTAATCGATGTTCTTAATATTATAATGGCGGTATAATATACAGAGTGAGTCACCTGCTATGCTTAACCTCTATTTTCTTCAATAATACAGTGATTCATAACCTGATTTTTGGAATTTTTAAATATACCTAAATAGGTACCATATTTTTAAATTCTTGAAATTTTTTTAATGCGTAATAGGAATAAAATAGAAGGTTACCGTTTTAAAAACAAAAGTTTGTATCAAGAGTAGGTCAATTATGCAGCACAAAAAATCTCAACACTCTGAAAATGTGGTATTTATAAGTATACAATAAAAGTATATTAAAAATTCCAAACATTAGAATTTGAATAAATTCATTATTAAATGTGAAACAGGCGATGAGCAATGAGCATACTTGTGGTGAATCACTCTGTATAATATTATATAGCACTATAATACTACGGTACACTTGACAAACGGTATTGTTATTGTGTCTCAGATGGTTGTTATTCAAACGATTTGGATGCATATAACCGCGAAGTCGTACTTTAATATCATGACGTTTGTTGTGTAAGAAGCGTGAATGAGATCAATGGAAATATTTTGTTTGTGATTACAGGTGGACGCGGATGAACGAGACGTCGGGAGAATGATACAGCGGCACCTTAAGTTGTTGAACATTGGAACTGTAGTCGAAGATGAACATTGACATTTGACATAGCATTATCCTGCACCCTTATGGCCTTATATAATATATTACATATAAATATAAATTTAAAAGTTATAACTTTATAAGTTTACATTATTTACCTGATTACATGATCAAAAAAATAAAAAATAACAATTGCATGAACACCAAACACTCTTTACTACCATGTTCAAATTTTGCATTTTTCAAAAATTTTGTTAAAGTGAATTTTTAGGTGTTTTGTTATGCATCAATATTTTGATTGTTGAATATTTCGATGCCTTAGGTTTTTTTTAATGTTAAATGTGATATAAATTAAGAGCTTATATAACAGGATAGATTAATACACCACAATTCACTTAGGTCTAGTACATTTAATACAAATATTTGTTGGATACTTGGTATTCATCCATCATCCATCATCGTTAAAAAAAAAATATTCTGCCAAGATTATACAATTTAAATTTTAAATTTAATAAGATATCATCATCATTAAAATAAAATTGGGTAGTGGGTTGGAATTAGAAAATAGAGTAGGTAAATCTTGATAAATAAAAGCACAGTAAATAAACTGAGATGAGTGTTTACAGTTTTCAACTTGTGTATAAAAAATAGATATAAAAGGAATCGTTTATAACAACACTGGTTGTAGTGACATATCGGGTTTTATGACCTTAAAGTAGGAACTGAAAAAATTTCATAGGTATGTTTAAAATGTTAAATTTTATCGGTAGTTATGACCATCTGTTATTATGACCCATTTTCCTTGGTCCCTTGAACGTCATTATAAACGATTTCTACTGTACCCATATACTGCTATATAGTTACAGATACAAATATCGGTTAAACTGACAGTATTGTAAACTTTGATTTAAGGCAGTTAAAAATTAATTTACCAATCGAAGCTTTTAAATATTGTGTCAAATTTTGGACCATCATGTTGGTGATTTTTTTTCAAGTATCCATAAGAAATAAAAACTATCAGCGTGGAAAAAAAACGAATGACTATATTATAACTAGGGGTTTTTTATACAAAGCAAGAGGTAAGCAAAAATATATAAGCTTCATAGGTCCCTATAAAAAAAAAACTTGTCGGAAAAGGTTTGGAAAATTATTAAAAACACAATTTGTCTACAATATAAATTATTATATATATTTTAATGTATTAAATTGTTCTTCAAATATTTTATAAAAAAGTATATATTAGAATAGTAATGGTAAAATAACTATGTAATCTTATGAATAATGAGTAATTCATCAAAGTTTCATTACAAAAACATTTTTTACGTATACAATATTATTATGTACAAGTACAATGTATACACCCATAGACAATAGCATTTTAAAAGTTCTTAGACATTCAGTTCAGAAAAGTTAAAAAATCCATTTGCCACGTACCTATCAGTTATTTTTTTTTGGAATACCACTACAAATTTGGTAATTTAAAGTTTTTCATTTGAATACAAAACATGTTTTAATAATACATACGACGTCTTACGCAGTTTACCCGAATCGTTCGTGAATTTCATTTTTGTAAAAACGATTATATTCGTAGTTACTATTTACACATTTATAAATGATTTAACACCTTCTTGTAGTATTCATTAGATGTGTTTAATTTATAAACATTGACTTTTCTCCCCTTCTCGTAACTGTTGTACATATAGTTACTTACTATAGTTTCTAATAAACTTAATTTAAAAAAAATGATGTTATATCTAGTGAGTATAATAAAATACATGTATAATTTGAGTACAGTTAAAACTTAAATTAAATTATGAACAACGACATGCAGAAGTCGTTTAAAGTACTTTATGAAATGTTAACTATTTATTTTATTATACCAATTACTTTAGTTTTGGATGTACTGTCACCACTCACCAGAATATTATAAGACATTGAGGCAGGCTAATAATTCGTGGTACTGGTGAAATAGGGCCACCGATGTAGCTGCTATCCCCCTTAACTGCACATTTGCATTTGGTTTTTATGTGCAAATTTCACTTTTTATTTTATCAGAAAATTACATGATATTATATTATTATGATCCACCCAGAATCACCCGCCAAATTTGAACGTGCATCGAAGGATACACCTTAACCATGGGATATCCGTCACTAATTGCATATATTATCCTACCTACCTTATATATTTGAATCTTGTGTGTGTAGGTACCTATGTTTTTTAACTCTTTTTGCACAAGTTCATCGGTGTTATCGGCGGTTGTCCGTTCCGGGTGATCAACTAGGAAATAGAGAGATTACTGTTTGTTTGAAGTTTACACCTTGAAATCTGCAGCTGTGCAGGGTAGATACAATTATATCAAATTTAAATTATTATTTTTTTGAGAATTTCATATAAATGATTAATAATTACTTGACGTAATTAAAGTAATTAAAAAATCGTAAGTTGATTTAATAACTGTAGGTTTGTAATTCGATAACCTACAAAATTTAAATGTGCTAACTGATAGTCGTAGAGGGGATGGGAGATTTTATATTTTATGATAAGGTACCTACAGATCTACTGATTATTATTATCACTTATTAGTTATTATACCTAGTTATTATAAAATATATTACCGTTCTTAGTTGTTGGATCTGGGATTTTTTTTATGGTTTTTAAATACCTACTTATTATGAAGTATGAACAAGTTTAGGGTAAAAAAAATGTAACCTATTCAGTGGCAGAACAGTCTGCAGCATTTAATACGTTTAGTTATACGTGATCATTGATAATATTTAAGTAATTTATGATTAAAAAATAAAGTTCGATATGCGGAACTCCGGATGCCCCCGGAGTACTGAAGCACCTCCCTCTTAAATACAGCACTGGTTGTAGCCAAAAGCGTTATCCGCTATGTACGTTTATATCAAACTATATGACATAATATTATGTTGAAAACAATGTCGGACGAAGTTTGAAACTTAAACCACCGAACCGCCTCACTTGTATACGCCGCCATTTCAAGCTTTAATAATAATACATCTATCGTACCTAGCTGTATCATATATATATATATATTATATAGTGTATAAATATTGTCTTATGTGCGTTGGAAAATATTTCGGTATATAAGTAGGTCAACGTGGTATAACAATAAAAATGATAATAATAAAAATAAAAATAATAATATGTGCATAATAATAATATAATATAATATCCGCGTATTGTCACACCGTCGTTCGGCTGGAAACTTTCCGTTTCTGCCTCCCTCGCCCCTCTTGCCCATCTACGAGTACCTATCTATACACATAGCACACTGTCGATTGCCGTGATAGAACATTAAAACCTGATTGCGTTCTGTATATAATAGCTGATACAAAATATACAAAAACAATATCGTAGGTTTATGTATATAGATATTATATTTACCAACTATTATTATTATTATTATTATTGTGACTTATCGTCGTCATCATCATCATCATTGTTATTTTCATCGGCATTATTATTATTATTATTGTAGTGATGGTGATGTAATATCATAACAGCAGACAATCATGGAAAAATGATACACATAAATATGAAATACAATATAGTATATACCTATATACTATAATATGATATATACGGAGTGATCCATTTAACGCAAGACACTCTCGATGCTTCAATGTTTCACAAAGCACTAATATTAAATAGTTTTAAGTAGTTACAAAACAATATTTTTGGAAAAAAAATATTTCTCACTATTATCGTTATATTTTTTCACAGTTTTTCACTCTTTTTGATGAAATAAAACATTTTTAATTAATATTTTGAAAAAGAATATTATGGGGAGTATTTTTATCTACTGAAATCAATTTTGAATAAGTGGTGCTTATTAGATATACCATATACCTAATAGTATTTAAAGTTTTTTCGAGAGGACCAACGTTTTGCGGGGTTTCCCTGCAGTAGGAACCACTAGACTCAGTTCATCTGAACTTAAATAGGTACTTAATCTTATTAATATTTTACCTAAATTAAATATTTATATTTGAAATTAAGTACTCGCTTAAAATATTTTTCTTTGGAATGAGGGAATATTTGTGTTGCTACTGAAAAAATCAGAAAACGATTACGTTAACAACTATGTTACGAGTATAATATATTTTTAGAAAAACGGTTTTTTAACGACTTAAATTATTAATTGTGTAAGTAAAACATTTTCAAAAACGTCAATGTAGTTTTTGAAATAACGCGAGTTTTTCACGTTAAATGGATCATCTGGTATACAAGTGTAACACAAAGACCTGACAAATTTAAAATTGATACCTACAAGTTAAGCAATTTATACTCAAAAAAATATTGATATTTAAAAAAAAATGTAAAAGTAAGCTACTCGACTTAAATGTATGTGTTTTTACATTATTTTTTTTTTTTAATCAGATTAACAAAAAAAAAAAACATTACATATTGATTCGAGCAAAAGTTGTCAGGTCTTCGTGGTACACCTTGTACATGTATTATATTATATTACAATGTTATCAAACTCGGTAAATTATGTAAAATGTCTATAATAATAATATATAGGTAGGTAGGTGTAGTGTCACAGTGGGGGAAGTAAGTAGTATCACACGGGATGTGCTATGCATGGCGGCGGCGGCGGCGAGACGGTACCTATAGTATATTATATTATTATTTTGTGCATCACACATTCAGTTAGACGTCAGTACTCGGTAATGGTCGTGTTGCCCACAGGTATGGCCGTTCGCACCGTAGCGTCCTTTGACCGGTCGCCGTCACGTGTTGTTCGGTACCGGTTCGCCGCCGCCGTGTGCGTCGCGGTTTTCGCGTTATTGGCGAGGACCACGGCCGCAGCAGCAGATGCCGAATCGTCATCCAGCGGATGCGCTCCAAAGGTAAAAAAAAAAAAAAAACCAATAGCTGTAAGAATCGAAAGCCCCTTTCTGCGCCCCCCCCCCCGCACAGTTATCCGGTGGAAACCGGGTGGACGAGAAACGTTCCGCCGTCGTCCTATCGCAAGTGTCTCTGACCCCCTCCCCCCTCGCGCCCCAGACGTGTATGGGATTGGTTTCTCATAATATTGGAGCTCGGATTTATGTGCAATACCAGATTGTAATTAAATGCAATAAAATGTCATTTACAACGAATTTACCAA